TCGCTGCTGGTCTTCACCATCTCTCCATAAGCAGGAGAGGACCGTGGGTGCCAGGCAAAGCCGGATGCTTTCCCACCCCATGGCATTTCTCACCTTCACCACCTCCATCTGGGCCAGAAAGGCCATTTTTGAGATGTTTCAGGTCTCCTTTCCCTCTCTTATGTGCAGAAGGCACCTGGTACGGTGATGAACGGCATCAGTGAAGTGACTCTGCTTCTTGCCCGAGGATTCAGCCCCACATCCTGCGTGTGGGAAGAGCAAACCATGAGTTGGTTGCCTCTTCCCAGCCATGGTGAAGATCTCCTCTGCAACACTGAGCAGCTCCCTCCGCGGTCCTGAGCCCACCAGCACCCACCGAGCCCCAGCGCAGCAGCTGGACCCCGGGGAGATGCGCTGGAGATGGAGATGGGTCTCCTCCTTCCCTGTTCTCCCCAAAAACTCTTCGGCAAAGCCAAGGAAATGAACAGAAACCCATCGGTCTTCCTGGTGTCTGTAACGCCTCAGATCCTCCCGGAGCACTTTGCAATTAGGAGCTAATTAGTCCTCCCGATACCTGGCTGCATTGCTGGGGTGCCGCTGCGTTCTCCCAGTTTGCAGCAGGGAACATGGAGGCGCAGAGGTCGCATCCAGCCATCTCAGCACCAGCTTTGCAGGGGGTGCTGCTCACCTCCCCGTCTCTGCAGGGTGCAAACCAGGGCGAACCCTGATTTCGGGGATTTTGGCAGTATGGGGACAAGAGGAGCAGCCCTGCAGAGTCTCTGCTCTCTTCCCAGATTGAATTTTAGCCTCCTGAGCCAAATGCTGAGAAAGCGCTGGAGGAAATTAGATTGCTTTTTGGTACTTGTCATTTCTCAAAACATACGATCTGCTGCTGGAGCATCAGGAATGATGCTTTGGAGGCCAGTGACTTCCCGCTTTCTGCTTTCAGCCTGGCTGGCTCTGGCCGAGGATGGGGCTCTGCATGGTCCTCAGGGCAATAGAAATTCCTGCAGGAATTTTAAAAGCCAGTTGGAAACAACCCAGCTTTGGTCCAAGGGGAGCCAGCCAAAAAAAAACCAACCCAAAAAAACCAACACCCAAGGCTTAAGAACACAAGTGGCCAACACCCTCATTGACCATTTTCTTCTCTCCATGTTTCCATCCCATCCGGAATTTCCTCACCTTTTTCACGAGGAATATTCTTGCCTATCCATCTTTCAGGATGACTTTGGTTCTTTTCTCCCAGCCCCAGGTTATGTCCTCTCCTTACCTCCGCTCCGTGCACATGTGTGACCACATCCCCACCCTTCCTGGCATCATCTTTATCTTGGCCAAATCCTGCTGGAGTGGTTACATCAGGATTCAAGAAATCTTCCCTGGGGCAAAACCACGAGCGAGAGCACAACCTGCCTGTTCCCTCGGGCTCTGATTTTGCCGCCGTTACAATTAATGGCAAAATTCCCATTCCCAGGGCAGGATCAGGCCACCTTTTCAGCAGGGTGATGGGGACTGAGATGTCTTTGCCTGGCTGTCCGCTGCTCTCCCACTGTCCATCTGCTCTTGTCCACGACTTCCACCCTGACCACGTAATGGACGCTGCATTTTCCCCGATGCAATCGCTCCATTAACCTCATGCAATTAATGCTTCGGGAAGCATTTTGCAAATATTGATGACAAAGAGAGAGCTACAACCCAGAAATGGCTGCTGCTTCGGTTGCGTTACCGTAGGAAGCCACAGCTTACCTAGCTCAGGAGGATTTTCTTTCCATGTCCAAGACTTTCTTGGCTGTTCTTTGGTCTTTCCCGGTGCAAGAGGGTCACGCAAGAGGGGGATGGATATTTGTGGCATCTTGGAGGCACCCAGAAGAGTGGCCTGCATGGCGGGGGGGGAAGAGGTTGGCACGTTTTTCTCCCCAGCGATTCTCCTCCATCACGGTGGCTTTGCCTCTTTTCCATAGGAGGCACCCAGAAGAGTGGCCTGCATGGCTGGGGGGGAAGAGGTTGGCAGGTTTTTCTCCCCAGCAATTCTCCTCCATCACGGTGGCTTTGCCTCATTTCCATGGTGCCCTGACTTGGGCAATGCCATCAGTCTGGGGACTTTTGGCATCACATGTGCTCATCCTGTGACATCCTGTGGTGCCCATCGCACACTCCCTGTTCAGCTCCCTGGCTCTGGGACAGCACTAGCCGGTCCATCCTGGCATGTAAAGTGGAGAAATCGTAAAATCCTGTTTCCTCTGCAAGGAGAAGGAGTCTCCTGGCTCCTTGTGAGATCAAGCAGTGTGCATATATCTGCAAATGTTGGGGGGCAGAGGTTAAGCTGAGCCATGCGAGGGGAGGAGGTGACTGTGCTTAGCAATGCAGATCAGATGGCTCCGAGACCTGCCCGTATCCATGGCCAATTCCCGGGATATTTGGGGGTTTAAAACGTGATGAAGTCAGCTGAAGGAAGGCGTGCTGTTTGGGTGAGGGAGGACGGGGGAAAGCAGCTCCTTGGAAGGAAGCGCTTTGATCTGCTGGTGGCCGTGGAGGTGGCCAGATGTCCGGATGGCCACCAGGGAGGTGGCTGTGCCCTCCTAGGGAGGCAGGGAAGCAATCAGGAGAGCAACGACCCCCGTGACAGCAGACTTGGGGTTTGCTCTCTGCTGGGAGATACTCTGTGATGCTGGAAGGGGAGAAGCAGGATGGGTGGGATGGTTCTCCCATCCTTGCATCCTCTGCTTAGAAAAATCAGTCTTGCCAAGGAGATGCAGCGATTGCTCCTGGCAGCCGTGCAATTCTCAGAGTAGGTTTTAAGGCCAATATAAAGATGACAGCTTCCCGGGCACCTCTGCCTTGCTGGAGATCCGCACAGGCACTCGCTGCAGCTGGAACCTGCTGGGACCAATTTGCCGCCTCTGCTCCAGCTGAGACGCGCTGGCACGCCTGCTCCGAGCGCGCTTTGTTCCGCGCCTTGCTGCTGCCTCTGGTTTTCAGCAAAGGACAGTGCTTGCTTTGCGGTGCTTCAGTTTGAGCTTTTTATTTTTTTTTTCCTGCAGATTTGCTAGGAGATGGGGAGGTCAAGGGACCTGCCTGGGGCCAGGGACTGAGTCAAGGGACTCAGCCAAGGGAAAGGGAGCCCAGGACTTGGGCAGAACAGGCTCTGATGGATCTCACACGGGATCTTTTCTCCCTGTCCCCTTGCCCACACTGGCATCTTTACCTAAAACCCCTTGAATCCATCTCTAGAGGAAACAAGAGGCTGAGCATGGGGCGAGGACTTCCCAAACCAACTCAGGGTCTCCCGTTGCAGGGGTGCTGGGGGTGTTGGGGGAAATCTCTCTCCCTCAGCTGCTGCCCATCACCCCCAGTAGTTTGTCCCGCTGAGATGCTCTGGGAAGGGGCTGGAAAGGGGAGCGAGATGGTGGCAGAGCTGCAGGGGATGGACGGGTGGCTCGGTGGGCTGTCCCCTGCCCCAGGTACCGTTCCAGGATGCCGTGGGTGCACAGCATCGTTTGTCGCCTGTTCTTGAGGACACCAAAGTGGGCTGCAGCGGGGCAAGCCAGGCTCCCTGTCCCACTCAGGACATGTTGGATGTCTCCTCTGAACTGTGTGCCAGCCGTCTTGTCGGTTGTCCCCCATCCTCCCTGCCGGCGCTGCCACCACCTCCTCGCCCTGCCCTGCCGGTGCCTGCCGTAATCCCAGTGCTCTGCCTCCCTCCCCAGTGCTAATCCTATAAATCCTCAGTAAATCCTGCCCGCCTGGCCCTGCCCCTCCGTGCCCCTTCTCCGAAGAAGTCTTCGTGGGGTCTCTCACCTTGGGGATGGCTTTTTTTTTGGGGTGCACAAGGCTGTCACCCAGATAATGCAGCACCTTGGGAGGCTGCTTGCATTGGAGCAAGCCCCGGGGGATTTGTGCAAAGCCCTGGTGACTTTTAGATAAGATAGCTGATGCACCCCAAAATGCACCCCAAAATTTTAACACTCCCTTGGCGTGTGGAAGTGGGGCTGGTGTGAAGCAAGACCCCAATGCTACGAGGTGCTGCCTGCACCTATCCCAGCACAGGACCCTGCTCTTCGCCTTGCCAGCCAGGGATGGGGGAGGCAGCAGGGCAGCCCGGGGCTGGGACCAGCCACAGCATCCCAGTAGCACCAGTACCAGGCAAGGAGCCATCCTCAGGCTCAACAATCCACCCTGCGAGGGCTTAGGCGGGTGGTGAATCCCTGCATCTCGAGTTAGTCCAGAAAAGATTAAGCCGACCTAAGAATAAAAACAAGTTCAACCGGCTGGGATAAAACGCGAAAGCGTGCCAATCGCCCAGCTCCAGGAAGGGAAGGGATTAGAAACCCCGGGCAGATTACAGCCGCGTGTTTCGGTGCACAGGGCAGGCGTTACGGTCCCGTTGAGCTTCCCGGGGTGGATGGGTTTCTCGTGCCTCCATCCCCAGTGCTGCGGTGGCTCATCCTGCTAACGACCAGTTAAGCGACTCCAGTAAGCACCCACGCAAATGTAGGAGTTCAAACAGGGGCACGTTTCCGAGGAGAATAGCCAAATGGATCTCTCCCTGCGAGGCCTTTATTTCTATAGAGCTGCTCCCTTCCGCTACGTGCTGCGGGAAAGGCGCTAGGTATATAAATAAATGCATGGGAATATACCATCCACACTGATCACTGCCGGCAGTGTGGACAGCATCCGAGTCTGCCCCTGGATAACGATTCCCCTTCCCCGTTCCCTTTCGAATTAGGGATTGCTCTAAGGGGCAGTTCTTTGCAGCATCGCTCCCTGCATGCTGGTGCCTTGGCTGGTTTCTGATATTTCTGCTCTGAAGCTGGAGCACATGCCTGCAGTCCCACCAAGATGTTATTTTTTTTTCCTCCCACAATGTGATATACAATCCTTGTCACGGCGATGGGACTGGGATCCAGAGCTGCACTTTGCTGCTCCTGCTAACGAAGGGCTGTCACGGGAGTTTGATGCCGTTAACGGTCCGCAGGATGCCGTACCATGAAAACCCTCTTTTTGCTTTTGTCTCCTCTTCCCAGGGACATACCAGGGCCAGTGGGTCGGAGGGATGCGGCAGGGTTACGGCGTCCGGCAGAGCGTTCCCTACGGCATGGCAGCGGTTATCAGGTCACCCCTGAGGACGTCCATCAACTCCCTGCGCAGCGAGCACACCAACGGCACAGCGCTGCACCCCGACGCCTCGCCGGCGGTGGCCGGCAGCCCCGCCGGCTCCCGGGGTGGCTT